AATTGATTAATGTTATCTATAAGAAAAAATAATAATAATGATCTTTAAAACAAATAATGTTTTATTTTTAATACAAATTTACTGTTTTATATAATTTGCACTTAATGTAAAATTTTTTAAACATAAGTGGCTTTGCAAAGCTCCAATTGCACAACCAAAGCCACTAATGAGATTCTCGCATCCTAGCTAATAGTTGAAGCGTATTGATCGCGTCAAGTTTTCTACTTTTTTTATGAACCTGGCTGCTTATTATTATATATTTTGCGCAGGCAAAGTTCCATATTTGCACTGGTGGCAAGCAGACTGGAATCTTCTCTTGTTATACGACCATAACTTAATGTGCACACACGGTTTGTGCAGTTCGGTGAACTGGTGCAGAAACACTAGATGAGATTTCGCTCGCAAACTATATTTTGCGCCAAAACAATGGGAAAACTCGGCAATGGCGTTCCAGCAGTACAGCAGGTAATGAGAGAAAATGCAAATTACGAGGCGAACAGAAACACAAATTAACCAGTTCATGGTTTCAGCTGTTTGTTCGTAATTGCAACAGAGGAAAAAGGTTTATTTTTCAATTATAAAAAAATTGTAATATAAATTATGGAAGAAATTGGGTTTTTTTAAATAAAATTTAACTTTGTTGCAGTTTCAATTTAAATATTTTCTCTTTTTGAAGGAAATATTTGGGATTTGTCCAGATAAACATAAATTATTGCATTCAGATTCATTCAAATTGCCGAGAAAAACTATTAATGCTGTCTTGACTTGGTGGTGAATGCTTCCTGCTTTCTGAGATGAACGGGAAAAAGAGACAGACTTTGTCGAATTTCCTTTTAAAAAGAACGGAGCAAAAAAGTTCGCAATATATGCTGAAAAAAGTATCGAATGTCAAAGCACAAGCTTTAAAGGCTCGATTTTTGTTTTTACTCTTTTTTCCGTTCAAAGAAAACAATTTGTTTGAACTTCACTAGTTCCTTCCTCCTTTCGATAAAAAGCTCCGGAGCACAAACGCATTTCTGGCGTCTCACCCACTCTCTCGCACACAAAACGCTCCTCCAAGAGCAGAAAGGAGCTCCAGAGGAACTGCCCGTTTTCGCATGCACAATAAAGAGAAACAGCCAGCCATTGTTGTCAGCCAAACAATAAAACGGCCTTGTGTGTATACCTAACCGTGCACATAAGCGGCAGGTACTGCAAAATATACACATGTATAAATGAAACAAGTAGAAAGGTGAGCTCAACAACTACGATAGAGAACAAACACACTTTCAGCAGGAAAACGTTTCCAGTTCTCGTGCAAATTTTATTACTTTGCTCACACTTTTTCCTTCAGAAATGTTTGAAAATAGCAAAATTAGTTCGATTCTGATACTATTTAAAATTAAAAGTAAAAGAATAAATATCATAAAAAAGTTCAAATTAAACGGAGCCTACATTAATTAACATTGTAAGCTTTGGATGAAAGTATTTTTAAGTATTTTTTTTATTATTTAGCCAAGAATGATAAAAAATTTCTTAAATTCTTATCATAAAAGAAAAGAGAATATTTTATTTTTATTTTTTAAAGTTGTTTATTTTGTTTAAAATCTGCTCTTCTCAAATTAAATCTGATTCATCACTAGTGAATTGCTTAAAATATTTAATTTAATAACTTTTTGTTTGCCAGATGTGTTGCCGTTTCTTCACATTTTGTAATTTCTTTTTTCTCATTTGACTTGATTTGTGAAGAAAATACAACAATGATAATAATTTGCATGAATAATTTAATAATTCTGTCCTTTTTTTGCGTTAAAAAACAACTTTCCTCAATAACAGAGTGGAGAAAACAGGCTTGTAATAGAATAATTATTTCATTCAACGAGGAAAGATACCATTTTTTTTCATTCTTCAAAGTGTCCTTCTCTCAAACTTGAGGTTAGAACTCGATGCGCAAAGATCTATCATGATCTTAACTTTATTGAACCCTAAATGTAATTTTTATCTCCGTATTTTTTTCTTATAACTGTCTTTCGAAAATATATGGGAGGAAAAAGAAGAAACCAGCCTCAACAAATTTGGCAGTTTCCAACGCTGCACAATCGGTTTTGGACGATCTGCCAGGGCCGCGCGTTTCGGGCTCAGGGGTGCGCAATTTCAGATGCATATAAATTCCACCGATGAGCGCAGATAAGCCCTGCAAATTCCCCGAGTTTGAATGCATCGCGTCTCTCTCTTCCAGTGCATGAAAGTCGCTCTCTCACTTGAAGTATTGGCCGAGATATCCGCGTGCCAGCCTCTCAGCGCAGTGTGTGAATTGCATACCCCGGCTCCAGAATCCCGTGGTGACATAATCATTCCGAGCGCGCGCGTTCCGAGAGATGATATCTGTGCATTTCCACTTTTTGCCTCGGCAGAAGATAAAAGCTGGTGCAGCGCATTTTGAGATGCTCCGCTGGGACTCTGAAGACGCCGCGAACCCAGCGGGACTCCCATTCCGCTCGTTCACAAATGCATTCGATGGATTTATTCTCGCTGCACTTTTACGACACATTTTTAATGGCCTTCCCGCGCTGCTCTGTGAGAAAAAGACCGTTTTATATATTTCTGCTCTAATTATTAAAAGAGCGAACGAAGCCTCCTAGTCGCGTCAAATTAATGAGAACGGCACTAAAAGTCTTTTCCGAGCCGCGGGATTTATTTCGAGTCGTCATTAAAATCTGCCAAATGAATTACGACGTGGCTTTCATCGCCACACGATTGTGCAGTTGCAATTAACGTTTGACTTATGATCATAATTCTTAAAGAAAAAGAGAACAAGTCAGAAAGGTTTTATTTGAAAAAAAAAAGAAATTCAAATAAGAAATAATTTTAGGATATAAGTTTTTTTTCTGGAAAAGAAATGTTTTTTTTTTTCAATTCAATTTTAGAAATGGTTTGAGAATAATATTACGCGGTTTTATGTGAAATGAAATATGTTATCTATATTTTTGTTATCACAATAAATAGATAATTGTTTTTTTAACCTCTTAGGCTATTTTGGGAAAATTTAATGAAATTGAAAATAATTCCACAGTGAAACGCGTGATATTGTTATTGAAAAAGAAATTTTGTGTTTAACAAAGACAGCAATTTGAACGATGTAAAAAAAAATAAGACTACTTTTGGACCTCATCTGTCTTAAATTTATTTTATTTCACATAATTTGATGCCAACTTATGGTATATTTGTACACGTGATAACCCCTTCCCACAATCCCAATATTGATCGAAATTGAACAAAACTTTATCCAAATGCCCTACACTTTTATTCAAGATCAATATGAATTTAGGATCTATATTAATACATAACATAATCGTCGCAGAGCGAAAATCAAGAATTTAAGCCTACACAATATCAACTTAGGATCGAAAATTGAAATGCATGTGACATTTAATATTTTATTTTTTGATTTCTATTAATTAAATGTCAAGAGCAAAGAGCATAAAAAAATTGCATACATAATAAAATTAAATACTATTTTAATTTGCAAAAGAATAATTAAAAGAAGTAGAAAATAATTTTTATAACTCAATATTATAAATATAATTAAAAAATAATAACAAACAAATAAAATTAAGAATATAATAATTATATATTTATCTGTTTGTGTATTTAAAACTGTCAAGTTTATGGCAGTTTTTATTTAAAAATAATGTAGCAGAACAACATAATAATAATACTTTCATATTTTTCATTAGCTTCACTGCTAGTATTTTATAAAAACTTCAATTAATTTTGTCTTAACACATAGAATAAAAATATGTATTCACTTATCCAACTTTTCCAATTTATTCCAAAACAAACTGTTTTAAATATTTTGGACCTTCATTGGAAAATCAATAACATGTGTATCTGTTTATGCTGACATTCGACAATGCGATGTTTGCTCCCGAGAGTCGAAGTTCATTCCCTTATGGAGGAAAAAAATACACACACACCCTTAATAAAGTGCAACACAAACACACCGCAACTTTGCCAAAGTTTCTTCCCGCACCGAAATCAATTCATTTCAACGAAACAGGATTTTCCAGCTCGAAGCTAAGGCGCGATAAGCGCAACGGCAAATCAAGTTGCAAGCTGCGGCTACAATGGTCGACAAACTTTTGACTGTTGCCAAACAAACTTTTTTTTCACTCTCTCTCTCCTTTATTTTCGCCGCTCTCTCGACTTCCAACTTGTTGTATTGAAATTTTCATTCGCAGCCAGCAAGCGGAAAAAGTTAGCTCGGAGAAAGAATTTGATTGAATTGCCCCAGCTGTTTTTTCCCCTTTTCTTTCTTTCCGCTCTTAATTGAGAGGAGGCAAGAGGGCGGAACTCGTTTGTTCCTCGACGTAAATCACATTAATCGAGATTGATTTAATTAAAAAATAGCGTTCGCTGTTTTTCCCTTCGTCCGTCATGTTTATAAACTTTTTGTTCATCTCTGGAAAATCGAGCTACGTTCAATTATATATATAGGAAGATGCTTTCTCGGTTAGACAAAACCGAGTACGGCATGTTGACGTAATGTAATATGGCTGTCGTCAGAAATTTTATTTAGAGAATAAACAACGCGAGCAGAATATATTACGAAAAAAAAGCAGGCCACAAACATAAATTTCCGAGCGTCGCAACTTTTATCCGAGGCCGACGCGAAGGAAAGAAGAAAAGTACTCTTTTTAGACTACGCTCTTCTTTTGATACGGTTTCTTCCCGAAGAAAATGTGCGGCAGAGCAATAAGGCAATTTCGAAGATAGAGAAAGAGAGAGAAATAAATATTCGGTTTGTCTAAAACGTGCAGAGGTGACAGCGGTGGAATTGAAAATGCATTTTTAATGCTGGCGATTCATCATTCAAAAGTAAAAAATTAAAAAATGCTGTATTTTAAATGTACACAAATATTGATTTAATATCAATTTTTTAGAATATCAGTAATATTACATAATTTTTAATATTTATCTTTTTTTAAATTATTGAAAAAAACTTTTTCTTTAATTTTCAGGAGTCTGCAGCCATCTTCAACAAAATCCTCCAGCCCAGCAGCTCGTCCGTGTCCAGTGAGTACACAGCTTAATTATCATAATTTGCCTGCTTTGGATAAAATCATAAAATACATGTCCTTTTCAACAAAACTGTGATGCTTAATTGAGCACGCGTCGCTCGTAAACCGGCCACTGACTTTCGATACCGCCGCCGCCGAAATTATTTTAACTTTTAAAATTATTTCCTTGTGCTGGAGACACAATTCTTTGAGCGGTGCATTGTGCAAAGAATAAGTGTCGGTCAGATTGAGCAGCTGAAACGCGAGTCGCCGTGTTAAAATAACAAAAACAGAAAAGTTAAATAATGCGTTAATGTTGCAAATTAATCAGATAATGAGTTTATTTCTTCATTAGATGGCGAGAATTCACGAATTTAATTTGAAAAGGGAGTAAATTTTAATTTATTTTTCGAATCTTAACATATTAAAACAAATTTTGAATATTTAAACTTGTTAATAATATAAATGAAACTTTTTTACTAAATTTAAGAGTTCCAATTTAACAAAAGAGTTATTGAAGTTTGGAAGAGTTTCCAAGACTTTCTTATTAAATATTTTACTTAGGCAACTTGCTTGTTTTAATTAATTTAATTTACAATTATTTGGTGGAGATTTTTTAATAAAATAGTTAAATTCGCATCAGTCTTTAAAATTTAACTTTACATTAGTATGATAATTGAGACTCTTTCACCAGTTGAATAATTAATTAAACTCTGTACGTCATATTCTAAAAAAAACCAATATTTGCACCAAATTGTTTTTCAAAAGAATGAAAAATTTATTAGCAGATGTACAATTATAAAAAAAAGGCACTCTAGAATTTCCTGTTGTAATAATTTCACTGTAACAAAAAAAATCCCATCTCTGTGTGGTTGCACACGTGACAAATTAATACGAATTGCGCACACGCTTTTAATTTAAGCCACAAATTATAACCGTGAAAACAACGCTTTGGCCGCCGCACAAATGAGCTTTTAACGACGGAATTTAATTTCAAGAGCGACACCAATTTGCACGAGGGCGGGGAAAAATTGCGTGCAAATGTTCGTGTGTATGTTTCGGGCTCGACACAGCGAATCTGCCACGGAGCTTTGATTTCCCACGAGTAATTCGAGCTCGGCGCTGCAGCGCTGAACTGACGTGTGCGTGGCCATTATGCCATTTTCTTGTGTGTTTCGCGATGCCTTTTTTTGATGCGCGTAAATCAAACGCTCTCATTTGCGAGCTTGCAAAAAAATCCGACCTTAAATGGGAAAAAATGATATCGGACCCGTGTGTTGTATTTTCCCACAATACGGCCGTGTCTTCATAAACACAGATCACGCGGCGCGGCCACTGCAAAAACGAGCTGCTCTTTTTTTTCTCTCTCTCTGATATATAAAATTTTGCTGTTTAGGGCCTTTCATTTCCTCCCGGAGATAAAATCGATGCCTCTGGTTGCTGCTATTCGGTTACGTATGAGCCTTTTTCGCTCTCTCGCACATTCAGTTCCCACACACGCAGGTCGAGCTTCTCTTCCGAGGTCCTCCGGCAGCTTCATTTGTTGCACCAGACATTTTTATATGTTTTTGGTGTGTGGCCGAAAATCAGCACCTTAGTTGTGTACACGATCTTTAGAGCTCATCTTTCTTGACATCGAATTATGCTATTATTTTTGTTTCAAATTTAAACATCAGTTCCATGACTTATGACAATCTTTAATTAATATATTATCAATAATTTATTTTATGGTTTGCTTTCTTTGGCTATTTCAATTAAATTTTTTTTTTTTGCTAAACAAGTCAAAACAATGAAATAAAAATTGGTCGGGATAAAAATAGACAAAATAGATAATAATATCCAACTATACTCGCCGCACTGCAGCCTCAACTACGGGGAGAAAAATCAAGTTTGTTCATCATCATACTTTTTTTTTTAACAATTTTTGGAAAATAATTTGTTACACACAATTTTAACTATTTAATGCATTTACATAAAAGATAATATTCAACGGATTAAGAAATGAATTGTGAATAATGATGATTGTTAAGGAAAACCTGGTCCATCGGACCCGACTATGGATAAGTTATCAACTATTTTAATTAAAATCCATCTCTTGTTCATTTATTTATATTATAAAGAATGCGAAATTTTTATGTATTATTGGTTGTGCAGGTTGGAAAAAAAATGTGATTAAATTATATTAAATTAAAAACTTAAGTGAAAAAATAAATTTAAATATAATTATACATATAAATATCTTTAATTTAATGTAATGTAAATATTTTAATAAGCAAATTAGTATATACAGATGTAAAGCATTTAGCTGTCCAGATCCACTACAAATGGAGTATAAAGGCAAAAGTGTGAATATTAAAAACAGTTGCAAGCGGAAATTAAGTGTGATTAACTGGTTAACTTGAAATGTAAAATACTTTGGAATAATAGTTAATTAAAATTATTATCAAGATATTGTCGAATGAATTTTTTCACTCCGACTAACACCCAAAAACTTTTCACAAGTTATTCATTTTGGCAGTTAAAAATGAGTAACCGAAAGTTGACTTTTCAACAAGTTAAATGCGCGGATTTGTCATTTTCGAGTGTAAACGGAAACAGGTGTCACCACAGACGGAGCAAAAACGTCGCCGCAAAATTAATCCCGCAGTCACCGTGCGATGCATCATTATTCTCTCGCACAACTTGCGGCGGGTCAGGAGCACGGCAATCAAGCGAATAATTCAAACAGATTGGCTTTGCCCAGCCTACGAACACACAAACACACTCGCTGATTAATCCGCTTTCGGAGGCGCGCCCGGTCAAGCAAGCCGGAGATCCATCAGCGAGTAACATTCATTAAGAGCCGCCGTGGCGTGTCCAGCATAATCACCCCATTTACTTCGGCCGCAGCGTCAGGTGTCATGTATATCATCAAGCAAAATTCAAATTATGGGCGTGACGATTGGGCGGTCGCACGCACACTTCCGGGATGCTCGCGGGCATTTTAATTATTCGTCCCAGCTTTTTTACTCTTTTTTTTTTTTTTTTGGAGGGAAAACGCCCTCAGACGGTTGCAAGAGTGTTGTTTGGGAATTATGTAAATTCGCTGCATCCCACGCTACACTTGTTCTACATGGGAAACGAAACGAGACATGCAGACAGCGGCACGGCGTTTTAATTAATTTTTTGTGCGCCCCATTAATCTTGCGTGCGCGCGCGTGAATGGAATCGAGAGAGAATGAGAGAGACGAGGGGAAGCAACAAATTATTACTCCCGGAATAAAGAAAACTAACAAGGAAAAGTTGAAGTTTACAAAATTTAATTGAAACGAATGGCCTCGCTAAATCTTCTGGGTTATTGCACTAATCTGAGGTTCAGCAAAAGTGTTGCTGAAAGTGAGATTCCTGTTAAAAGTTTTTACTGAATGTTCAGTCTCAATAATAAAACTTTTTTTCAAACATTTCCTGATCATTTTAATAGAAAGTTTCATATACTGAACTCTAATTTGGATTTTACTGAAACAGAGGAAAAATTAGAGGAGCTAAAAAATTAAAATTATAGAAAAACTTTCTTATTTTTTAGCGTGATTGCGATCAAAATAATGGAAAACTTTGCCAAAATGCGTATAAACTCATCATAATTGTAAATAATAGCAATTAAAAAATAAAAAATTTTATAGATGCCATGGGTGGTTTGGTGAGGAAGTTAAAAAATGTAGAGCAATTATGGAATATTGATGCTGTGCACGGGGATTTTTTTCCTTAATTTTCTTCCCCACATAATATTTTTCAAGTTTGCCAAGGTATCATTACAAAATTATGGCAAAATTTTATAATAAAATAGACAAATGTAGTACAAATAAATTTTCTTCATCACAATAGATGCATAAAGACAAAAAAAAATAATTCAAATAAGCAGAGAATTGAATATTGTACGTTATTTCAGGTCATTTATTTAGTAAAAGATATCAAAGCATGATTTCACTAGCCAACGCTTTTAAATGAAATAATAAATAATCCATTTTAAATAATTTCCTTAAGAATGAATCAATATTAATCGCAATGATTCTAATTTTAATTTTCATTTCAAACGAATGTAAATGCTCGAGAAAATAAAATTACATTACAGAGGAAATAAATCACATAAAACAATGTATTTAGAAATTTAAGACCTTCTTTTGAGAGAGAGAATCTTTTTATTTAGTAACGTAAATTGCGAACAAGAAAAGGTTTAAAATTCCTCAAGTAATTCCATTTTTCTTCTGCCAGCTGCGGGGTTTTTAATGCAGGCCTGCCCGCTTTCTCCGCCGAGAGTAAATTTTGAATGGAGTTGGGGAAAAAGTGCCGAAATTTTAATTAAAGCTTTCAGGCTGCGGAAGAGAACGAGCGGGGGGTCCACTTTAAGGCGAAACGCCACCTTGGCGAGTTTTTCCTCGCAGCGCATCCGGCTCTGCTTCTCTTCTTTTTTTACGCCGGAGTAAAAAGTGAGAAAGTGGCGGGCGCGCGCGAGGGTTGTTTTACAGAATGTGCACGGCCGCTCGCCCGCCCAACCCGGAGCAATTATACGCAAGTGAAACGAACACACACAAAAGGCATGTTTATCGCCTTGATTTAACAACACGGCAGCGTGTTTTGCGCCGCCGACCGGTGCACTACGATTTAATCCGCGCACTTTAATTTTATTCCGAACTATAAAGGGCCTCGCCGGTGGAACGGCAAACCATCACCGGCGCTTAACTTTTAGTGCCTTTCATAAAGCTGCTGCGAATCTTTAATCTCGCGCCTCCGCCTTGCCTACTTTCTTTGGCAACGCGTTTCCGGATGACGAGACACGCCGCTCTCTCTCAAGGCAATTAAATCTCGCTCGCTCGCTGCCTTGTCTTGTCTAAGCTACTCCGCAATATTAACGACACACAAGCCTTTCCTCCCTTTTGTGACGAGAACATTTTCAATTAGGCATACGTGAAGAGCTCCCTTTCAGGAATTAGAATTGGCGACGTACAAAGTGAAAAGCGAAATGTTACAATTATAGGTAGAGTTTTGTTGTTTCTCGTTTTGGTAGTGAGAAATAGAAGAGTTTAAGCTTTACCAAACTCTTTATATTTTGCAGAAGGCCGCACTTTTATGAAAAGAGTAAATAAGTTTTTTATTTTTCAATTTTTAGATAAATCCATCAATTTTTGAATTAACTGATGTAAATTTTGCTTATTTATTTTGTATACATACAACCGTCTTGATTTTTGAAAAATAAACATAGTGTAAATTTGTTTATACATAAACAAATATGATGATTTAAATTTAAATAAACTTATACTCTTCTGCTAATTTTATAATTTATTTACATATTTTACTCAATTTTTTCATTTATTATAAAATTTAAAAATTAAATTGTTTAGTGTATTATTTTTTTTAACAATAGCTAGAATAAATTTTGTCTTGTATTATCCCATAATGTTAATATAAATTTATTAAAAATAATTTCTACAAGACCTTAAGTTGGATCATTAATCACAGTTAATTACTAAGGCTAACCAGTTGTTCAGTTCTTTTCTCATCAGTCAAATTTGTCTTATTATTTTAATTTATAAAACATAAATTTTAAATTATACAAGTTCATAATTAAAATCATCACACATCGCATTTATCAAAATAATATTCAACAAATTAGATGAAAGGTTGGAGAACTCTTGAGTTATATCTTGACAGAAAAAGAATTAATAATTATGAAGCTATGTTAATGACATTCCAAATCCAAATTATTATTCGTGTTTTGAAGGACATTGGATTCAATAATTTTTTTCTGAAAGTTGAATCAGTGGAAAATTAGCATTAACCAAGATGAGACTTACAATCTATGTGATTGAAATCCGATTTTGAGGAAAGAAATGCAATTTTCCATACTCTTGAGGACTCCTCATCTGGAACGATTATTTACATTTTCCAATTTACCCGAAAACGCTGACTTAGAAAGTAGTAAAAATTTTTCAATAACTTGCATCATAATCGGGAGCTTCACTTTGAGCGCAGAAATGAAATAGTTATTTTGTGTATAAAGAGTAGAATTCATTTCACCAAAGTGAAATCTGTATCTTCTCTTTCAACCGCGCTCAGTCAGTTCTTTCTTCTCAGGTCGTTTTTACACTTGACTTAATTTTTCATTATTTCCACTTAAAAAAGAGAAAAAAAGATGACGTTTCTGGCTGAGGTGGTCCGGATTGCTTCCTTCCTCGTCGAGAGAGACAGTCAGACGACGGGCAAATAATTGGCCCGGAGCAGCAGCGAAAGAAAGAGAGCAACATTGTGTCGTGTGCGGTCTCATTCCGAGCAGGGGAGGATGCAATTCGCCATCACGGTATCGTGCGGCACCGGCCAATCTTGTCCCTCTCATGCTGCGACAAAGATGCTTTTTGCTCCTTTTGGCTACTGATTCTTTCTTTGCGCGAGACCAGAGATAGAAATATGTCCACTTCAATTATCTGCTCGTCGTGTGCTCCAGTCAAGGGTCCGTCCGTCATTGATCATTGAATCGCGTGTATCGGTCTCCGGACAAATTGCTCAATCGATGCTATTCACAGATATGAAACGAATCAACCGCGCGTGGTTTGAGAAATAAGAAGAGATCCAACCACTCATATCTGTTTTGCCGTAGTCAGCATCAATGTAAAATGATTGGCCTTTCAGTACTTCGATCGGACTAAAAATAAAAATAAAACGTTCAATTTTTATTTAAGTAAGTTCTTTGTTCCTGAACAACAACAATAATGACAATGATTCGATCTGATATTTTTCAATTGAAAGTGAAATAGACACCAATAAATTCTTGTAATTGGACTTTGATATTGTAAGAAATTTTTTGTCGGAGATTTTTTAACGCAATTGTTTAAAAATCTCTATTTTTTTTCTCTGAAACGATGTACATTAAACTTTCAGTGTTGCCAAAAAGTCGAAAAACTTTTTTTCCCGTCCACAAAATAGTTAGTTTCACATCCATACACGTTCCTTCCGCGGCACTGCGACTATTGTTTGTGTGTAATCAATGGAAATGTGGAACGGAATGGTGATAAAAATTGAATAAAAAAAATGCAATATTCTGAATGATCGGGACTTTGGAATACTAATATAATTTAATCAAATTAAATCTGTTAATTTTTGTACAATATATTATACTTGTAATGGTGCAAATATTCAATAATTTATTTTCAAATTTTAGCTTGAGGCTATTTTTGCGCATAAACTGTCAGAATATAAAATTAAAATTTGATTTAATTTAAAGTTTATGTGCTTACAATTGCCTTTATTAAAATAATTTGTTTTTATATATTTTTTTATTAGCAATATTATGTATTTTTTTTTTTATGTTTTAATGTAACACATTATATATTATTTTAGATATTTTATAAGCATGTATTTCTGATAATGAAAATAATGACAAACAAATTAGATGAAAAAATATTTTATAGTTTACATGCATCAATTTTGTATCGCGGAACAAATTTAACAAAAAATTATCATTAATTTTCTTTTCAAGTGGTCTTCACACTAGTATTTTACTTCAATGATTGTTTGAGAAAGAAATATTGAAGTTAATGAAAAGTAGCTAATAAAATATAAAAAAATTTGAATGAAAAATGAAAATAACCAACTAAAAAATAAAATTATATAAAAAAAGATACTTATTTCCTCGTTATTTGCTTTTGTGCCGATCGACTTTTATTTACTTGAATTATGTTCTTGAAATCAGAGGTAATTTTCTTTCATACAAAATAAAATTCATCGCTCAAATGTAACGCAAATATTAATTTAACGCTCGAGACCTTCCCCGACATCAACGCTGATCCGGGCCGTGAGCAATAATTGCGATCGGCGAGGGCGGAAAACTGGGGCATAATATTACCCTCTCTCTCTCTTGAGATGGTCTGCGACAAGAGGTCTATATTCTCTATATTCGGAACCCACTTTTTGTCTGCCCAGCTCACTGAGCTGCGAATGATCACGTCAAGGAGTTGGAACGAGAACCCCTTTGGAGCTGCAATTTGGTTACACATCGCCTCGTAAGCAGAACCACTGCTGATTTCTTTCTGATTCGGCCTGGCCTTGTGGGAAATAATAACTCAAAGCGACTGCCAATACTCGACGGCAATAAAAGTGATTTACGCTTCGCACCCGATTTATATACGAAACTATTATTTTTTCGCTCTGTTATCATCACTACGATTGTGGTGGCAATTTGGTCTATTAAAAAATTATCGCGCTTATCAGCAGGCAATTTCGCGCGAGGGTGATATGAAGTGTGACAAACAAAATGATGGACTCACCCCTGCTGGCTGCGCAAGAACATCCTCTGCGTGTTTCTCTCCGTATATTGGCACTAGTCCATATTATTATATCCGATCTCAAGTCAGTGTAGTTGGTTGCTTTCTCTGGCAGGCTCACCGACCAACTGCAAAAAAAAATAAAAACGCGCAAAGATATAAAATTACCATCAACTGGCGCATATACATAATTAGGCTCAGAGTTAGAGATAAATTGCGGACAATGATAAAAATGATTTTGTCACCAATTTTGGCACAGCGAAGAAAAGGAAAAAATAATTGTATAAACCAAAATAACAGCTGAAAATTCACTTATTTGCTTCACAAAATCGGTTTAAATTTAAAAATATAGGGTATCATAATTCATAAGTAATAAAATTAATTTATTTCTTTAATGTTGTCTAGTAATTGTAAATTTAAAATACAAAGTGAAAACACCGAGAGAAAGAAAAAATGGAAAAATAAACTAAAATCTAAGTTAGTATGTTCATATATATGTCAATACATTAATTACGAGTCCATATTACAATTAAATTTACAGTATTTAAGAAATGGGAAATTATATCTATCCTTTTAATCGATTTTTCGAGAAAGAAAAACTAAAATTTAATTAAAAAAGTTAGGATATTATGGAATTTATCAGAAGAAATTCGTAACTAAAAAAAAAAGCAAATTTTGCAAAAAAAAAAAAAACCTATTTGAGTAAATCAATTACTCATTTTCACTTAAAATTAGAGCTTTTCCCTTTTAATTAAATTATTTTATTTTAAAACATATAATTTTCACTAAAATCACTACCCAATCTAAATAATGTATCAAGAAAAAGCAGCCCAAAAAGAAATTAAGAATCATTTCTAGTATTTACAAAAACTGCTTTTTAATAAAAAATTTCAACCATGCTTTATTGTCAGAGCTAATTTCCACAAAAAGTTACTATATCTACAATCGCAAATACATGATTAGGCCCTATATTGAAGTTAAAGATAAATTTCAGGCACTGATGTAAAAATGACAATGTCGCCAATTTTGGCACAGCATATTATTTTCTCCGGCGACGAAAAGGCAGTTTCACGTCCTCAGGAAAAAAGAAGCAAATGGAATATACCAAAAAGACAAACGCGTCTGCCCAACCGACACCAGGCTGCTTTCCTTCTCAGTCGAAATAAATATAAATTCTTGTTCTTTTGCTGACTGAGAGAAAGAGCGAGACTTTTACGCGGAGCACTCGGAATGATTCGCGATTGCATTAGGAGCAGTTTTTTATACTCCATCCGGTGGAACGAGGTTGCTGCCGCTGCTTCATCGATTTCTCTCATCTTCACCCGACAGATAAACATAAAAAAATTTTGTGGCTTTTTTATATGCAAATGTGCCTGCGAGTGTTTACATTCGATTTTCCACTCGCGCTCTCCCTCCAAATGAATTCAATGCTTTTGCGAATGAATTTGCCACAGGATTGCCTCCGAAATTTGGATTAATAAAATATTCGTTTGACGGTGGTATCTGGCGAAAGCATACCTCGCGAAACTTTCACTCACATGCACAGATGATGAAGCCCGGATGAAATCTTATTAAGCCTCGACGAATGGAGTTTTGTTTGATTATCATCAAATCCCAGAATATGCAAAATTTTGGGTCTTTCCAATACAATTTCTCTTTAAATTTGAAAAAAGATATTTACATAAAATAAACATGCATAAAATAACATAAAATTAAAAAAAAAAAAATAAAGAGGAATTTAAATTTCAAAACTCTTGAATTATGATTTTTTTTTCTCTGCAGATTTCTATAGATTATAATGGCAGCTTTTTTAAATTTTATTTTGCTGCTAAAATTGCTCATTATTTGAATTTTGTCGTGAAATTTATTAAACTTTAAAATTTTTAAATTAATTAGTTATCTAATTATTGAAATTGATATAAATAATTAATTCTGGATTAATTTTGTGTTACTTTTACGTTATGCGATGAAATTTTCAATCAATTAATTCTGTTATTCTGGGTTCATAGGATTCCAAAATCACACCATTTTATCTATTTAGGTCAAAAGTAAACTGACGAAGAGATTTATACCATTTGAATAGAGTCTGGCTGATTTCAACTTGGGAGTTTAGATCGCATTCTCGATTGCATTTCTTTTCAGCAACTCCGGAACAACCACAAAAGCCTTCAACTGAACGCGCGTTTTTAGCTGAAAGAGGAAAATAATAGCCCGACGGAGAGTGCCAATGCTTGAGAGTGTGACCGTAAAGTAAGTTGCGTTTTGATTCGGGCCAAAAAAGCCAAGCGAGTAATTTTTGCCTCAATTATGAGCCGTGCACATAAGTGAGGGCGGGGCTGCAATTGCGAGAGTAATCCCGTCGGCCGGGCATTAGCGAGCTCTGTCGTCTCATTTCCTTAAGCCCGGCGCTAAAAGGCAGCGAGCGAGCGAGCGAGCCCGGCAGCTTCCGAGAGCGTATTTGCGTTTCTAATTTCTGGGCGAATGCATAAACAAGGTCAGTCTAGCTGCGAAACGGGCGTCTCATTTAGCCAGCTGGTAATTCGGGGGCGAAACACCCTCCAGCGAAAATATTAGCTTAGGAATGTCCGCTGAGTAAGATAAATGTTTGCGTTTCGGCTTTGGAATTTTTCGCGCCGCCGTAATTTACGGCCGGGCACTCCCGCCGGTGCCATAAATATGCACGTGTGTGTGCATCGGTGCTGTTTTCCCGTTCGAAGCAAAATTTAATATCGCCTCGTTGGGGTTGTAACGAGATTAGGGTTAATTGAGCAGAATCGACACGGGATTGTTGCGCGGGATTACACGGCGGCGTCGACGGCGAAATTGAATGAGACGTTCCTCTCGAGAATCACATTATTTTCCGAGTATGCAACCGGCTCGTTACGTTTGACGAGCGGGTTGCCTGCATATTTTCACGGCGGCTGATTACCATGGAGATTGCTATCTGCATGCATAATCGCGAGCGTTCGCTGCACTTTGCGAGCGCCGTTTTACGGCGGCGGGTGAAAAATGATTCCCGTAGCCATGCAAATCGTTCCGGGAATTATTAACATGTAAAACGTGTGAACTTTGTGGGAGTTCGTAAGTAGTGCTGCTTACAACCGACGCTGCATAATGTATGATGAGTGGTTGAAATGCGAATTGCGTATAAAATTATCTTTTTTTTTAATTACTCCATTATTTTTCAGAATTTTTACATATCATACGCAATTAGGCATTTCCTCAGCGCTTAATTGTACTGCATTTTTACAAAACGCTGCTCTAATAAAGAACCACAACGCAGGAGTCTACGAAGAGAAAATTTTCATGAGATGTCAGTCACTAATTTCAATTCTCTAGATTAGCTGGTTTATTAGGCCACATTATTCTCCTCTTTCTATTCTTTTTACACACAAAAAACAATATATTTTAGTTCATTTAAATTTCTCTAGAAAAGATCCTGAAATATAAATAAATAAAGGGGTTTTATTTTAAATTATTCTTTCACGATTTGTATCATTAGAAAATAACAAGCGTATTTTCTTATTGACTTTTATTTAATTAAACTTCAAAAAAAGGAAAGAATATTTAGAGCTTTGTTTTGTAATATTAAAGCACTTTAATGTAACTTTTAATTGCAATTTATTTCAATTTACATTCAATTAATAACCATAATAATTTAGATTGAATTGATACAGTTGTATGTATAAATCCATCATTTCGTTATCTACTTTGAATAATTATCGCCGGAAGAAAAACTGGTTCTCATTTCTTTGATTTATAAGTTTCAATCTGTCTAGCTTCCTTCCATTTCCCAAGATAATTTTACCAGCAAGTTTGCGATTAACCCATTGAGTCTCTTTTAAAATCACTGTTATAATATTATTATTTCTTATTTTATTATTTTCGCCGCCAACTTATAAATACCTGTCAGCTTTACATAGTCCTGAGCGATATGAGCCAGCTAAGGCAGAGTTGGTTGAAACTAAACTCAAAGTGGTTGCGCGATTGCGACTCGAATGAGAGAAGAGAGTCTTTCTTCTCTCCGTCTACCTTCCGCCGGCAATTCTCTCGCACGGCGCTCCCCTTTTATATTGTTATCAAAATTTGCATGAGGGAAACTTTTCGTCTGTTTCTCTCATCCCGCGCTGAAGATATCGCATTATTATTCCCTTGTATTATAAAATGAATTATGAAACATAAAGCTGCCGCTGCGGGAGACGGGCAAAGTTTTTGATTTTTATTTAACCTCTGCTTATGTCATGTTTGCATAAAAGTTTTTCTTTCCACGGCGGAGAGAAAAGCAGCAGATTTGGAGAAAAAGACGAAAAAATCCGAGCCAAAAACACAAAGTGAATGTTAAAACAGGACTGACAAAAAATAATCAATGTAACTTTTTTTGGTATACGAGATAAAAACAAGGGCGGTAAATCTTTTTCTCCCCTTTGATCACTTCTCTTGCACCGCCACTTCTTCTTGGGGCGGCGGACAAAAATTGCGGTCCAAAGGGGAAACAGGCTGGGCCGCATCGCCTCTCTTTTCTCCGCTCTGTCATCAATATTTCATGGCAAATATAAAGAGATGCGATAAAAAGAGTCTGGCCATAGAGTATAGCAGAAAGGACAAGTTGGTCCAATGGAGGCATTTTGGCGGCTCTCAATGGAGATGCGGGCTGGTGCTTTTGAATATCAACTAGACCAAGGGTCAGCGGAAGCAAGCACCGATCTTTCGAGCGTTCGGCGCTGGCGGGGGGTCTCGCCGAAAATAACTTCTTACTCGGGCCCAAGCTCCACCTGAGCCCTGCCGCCGTCCGTCGAGTCGATTTGTCAACCCGTGTGACGCTTTCAACCAGATTCCGCGTCAAATATTAAACACCACAAGCCGTTGTATTAGCGTTATGAACCCGGCAACGAGTCCCAGGGGTGGACGAAGAATACGGACACCGAAGTTGCTCACTGAAGCTCATCCATTTATAACACGTCGCATTTTCGTCTTTGATTATAAGGGTTGCTGGCGACAGGACCGTCAATATTAAATTTAATTAGAAATTCAGGCGGTATATTTAATAAATATTTAAATACATAACTAAGATTTACTAATTTATAAATTTAGAATAAAATTTTAAAGCTTTAATTTATAGTTTTTAAAT